AACAGAAAGTTGCTTGGTTGCGACCTCTGTGTGAGCTGTTTTTCATATATCGCTACACTATTGACAATAGACAGTGGACTTTTTTTGCGTGCCAAATTTTGCTAATGTGACCGCATCTTTATTAATTTGTGGTCGCATTTCATTAATTCATTCCTTGGTTTTAGTTAAATCATAGCTACGTTGCACTAATTTATTCCTTCGTTTTAATTGAGTTAAATCTTGGCCACAAATTAGGGAACAGATTAGTAAAAAATGGTCGCAATTTACTTAAAATGAGGGAACAAATTCTTAATTTGTGGCTACTTTGTCTTGCTTTTTAAATAAATATTTTTAAATCATACACTTCAGCTTCTAATGACAGCACACAAATCTAACATGATGGATATGATCGTGGATAATTCATAGAAAACTAGAGAATTTCCTCAAGCCATTTCTAGCTGGTAATCAAGCCGATCAAATCAGCAAGCAATTGCTCCAATGCAGGAACTCGTCGAGCAAGTGCGACCATGACATGACAGACCTGCAGTCATGCGTCCTCTGAGCCTTCTGCGAGTCTTCAGCATAGAGACATGTTGGCATCCCCGCTCCGTTTGAGATAATTCAACAAGGCTGTCCATTGCTCCAGACGGAGGATGACTGAGGAATAGGAGCCGACATCGCTTCCATGAGTTTAGATGTTTTCAAACACATGGCTGGCAATCGTTTCTGTTTTGCATTAGGCCGACTGGCTGTCGGGATTCTTCTGAAAGGAACTGAAAGTCAGTTATCTACACCATTTCTCTCTGACATCATTGTGCTAATACAAGTTGCTCTTGACCTCATGCTAGTGTCATCTGGGGCTGATGAAAGTAAGGCATCTCTCATGATTGGATTAACTTCAGATGTGGTGAGTGTCTGGGAATATTACAGTCCAGGCTCTATGATCTGCCCTTGTCTCCTCATCTTCTCCTCCATCTCTGCCCCAAACCCTTATCTGTGGCCCAGGGCACTTAAACCCCACATTACACACACATACACTCGACCTGGGGAGAGCTCTCTCTGGCATTGGCTCTGTAAGCTTCAACACACACAGGCTTGATAATCGACTCAATTAAAAAGGTCCAATTGCCACAGCAAAATGATCCAAGTAACATTATCATTAGCACTTCAACTATGGCAATTATAGGACATTCACAGGCAGAACCAAGAATAATGGGGAAGAAAAATGAAGTGACTTTGTACAAAAGGACATCCATTTCAGACGGTGGTGTAAATAGCTCTGGTGTCAGCAGTATGGAGATAAAGGAATTGAAACTTTCCGTCACATATGTTAGCAGCTTTATGCAAGGAAGCGGTTCTGTAACAGATGAGTGGGTGGGAGAATTAATATTAAAAATAATTTTTAAAAAATTGGAAAAATGTTTTTTTTTATTTATTGGAAATATATGATGACAGAAAGAAAGAAATACTTTTATTTAGCAAGGATGCACTTAAAAGTGACAGTGGAGACTTTACATTGTTACAGAAAATTCTATTTCACGTAAATGCTGTTCTTTAAACTTTTTCTTTTTTTTTATTCATTAAACAATCCTGAAACGATGTATCTCGGTTTTCACAAAAATATACAGCACAACTGTTTTCAACACTGATAATAATAATAAAATGCTTTTTGAGCAGCAAATTCAGCATATCAGACTGATTTCTGAAGGATCATGTGACACTGAAGACTGCAGTAATGATGCTGAAAATTCAGCTTTGCATCACAGGAATAAATGACATTTTAAAATATATTAAATAGAAAATAATTTTTAAATTGTAACAATATTTTACAATATTACTGTTTTACTATATTTTTTAAATAAATAAATAAATACAGCCTTGGTAAGCATAAGAAACCTTTCAAAAAATGTAAAAATCTTAACTCCAAAATTTTAAACTCCAAAAATAAAAAAAAATTACAAGAATAATTGAAATTATTTATTATTGACAGCCCCTGTGTGTGTACATGTAGCACTATTGAGGCCTGACTTTCTCAGACAGGGAGATGTCAGCAGCGAGTGATATAAGACTGAGCTCCACAGTAGCCTCGCTCTGCCATACAGAGAAGCCGACAGCCTGGAAAGAGAAGACGTCCTCAAATCTGAAGGCTCTCTCGCTAATTGTTTCTGAAAAAATGACATTTGTCTTTTTTGCACCTTGCTTCAGGTGTCAGTGCCTTTCACATTAGAGGGCTTGCGATGGTGCGATTGCCCTGAAGCAGTTTGTTTGATGTTTTGAGGACTGTCATTTCCACATGCAACTCCATAGAAATTGAAATCTGTATTTATTTACATGCAAGGTTAATAAAAAAAGATGCCTAAGTGATTTGAAAGTCAAACAACTGCACCTGCCGTTCAAGCATAATTTTATGCAGACCAGGTTTAGCACATTGTGTCAAACAACTGCACCTGCCATTCAAGCATAATTTTATGCAGACCAGGTTTAGCACATTGTTACAATGGAGAAGAAATACAATGGTAGAATAAAATAAAATGTACTAGCTTATATCTGATATATATATAATTGTACCAGCTTATATCTGAAGTCCTCATCATGACACTTTTCAACTGGCATTCAGTTGCATTCTTTGTTTACTTGCTTGAAAGCTTTACTTCTATTCTAGTTACCTTTTTTTGTTAAGAAAAACGTTAATACACATAAGTGCATAATCAAAATCAAACACAAAAGTAAAATTATGACCTTGTGTTAATTGTTAAATAACTTTCAGAAACCTTGTACTGTGGCCTCAGGGTTTCAGCACAGGTATTTCAAAACAAAGCTAATAATAATCATCATCATAATCATAATAATAACAATAATGTTGTTGTTGTTGTTAAAATTGAAATGAAAACATTCCCACATCTAATTACTCAGAAAATAATAATGAAGATAATAATAATAATAATAATAATAATAATAATAATATTGTTGTTATTATTATTATTATTATTATACAATTACAACATCTAGGTACCTCATCATCGAGGTAAATTTGTCTTTTTGATCACTATATTACAGTTATTTTACACTTTCTCTTCAGGCAGGCAACGGCAAACTGCAGTCTAAACATAACATTATGTAGACAACACTGCCACTTGCTGCAAGAAAGCAAGTACCGCATTCTCTGCTTCAAGAAATAATAATAATAAAAATAATAAATACTAAATCCTGTCTGTGTGTGTGTGTATAATATATACACACACACACACACACATACACAGATTCTAAACACACACACAAAAACTATTTACTGCTACTGTATACTTTATTATTCATATCACTTTATTGTTGGGATACACAAGTTACCTAATTTTGCTGTGCGCTAATTATTTTTAAAAAATGTAAGTGGATTTTGTCTATATTAGGCAGCCACCTCTAAATGCAAATGAGAAGACAGTCACAACAGCTCTTTTATAATAGTAATGCATTTTTAAAAATACAACTCTATTTATTTGCTACATATGAAGAAAACAAAGGAGCAACCTCTTGAATTATTTTGTTTCATATTAACAGTTTCGTATGTATTTTCCTTTTTTCTTTCAGTAGCCGAAGGCTTTTTTTTTTCTTGTATTGCTTACTCGAGCCCTCTGAGAGGGTTTGTGAGCATATATCAAGGTGATGCACTGACAGCCAAAGGAAGAGCAAATTCAATCAGGGCCGGGAACAGGAAGAGAAGCGCTCTCCACAGATGGCTCCTTTCAGTCCTTAAACAGACACTGAGAGCAGCCGAGGGACCGGGCCCTGTCTGTAGATTGTGTCAGAGAACTGTGGGTACTTGGCACAAGTAGCAGGAACAATTAGCGTCACATAAGCTTCCCGGAGCAATGGGAGAAGAGGATACGAGAACACGGCATCTGATTTTCAGCAAGCGGACTTAAACTGTTATTTACAGGCATCTCTTCTTGTCATTAAACAGCAAGGGTAAGATTCAAAGACAGCGGTAGTCATGCCCCATATTTCACTGCTGATGAGTTATGTGTGGGCAGGGAGATCTGTTTGCATCCGTGCATACCTAATTAACGAATCGACAGAGGAAGTAGGCCTCTCCTTTGAGAATGCCCTACCACCCAGTCTCTGATACTGGGATTGCGTTCTTCTTAGCATTGTGCTCTGGTTCTCTCATTGTGAAACACACACTCACACACACACACACAGACAAATGTGCCATTTGAAACGCCAGTAATGAGATGAAGTAAACAATTTTACCATATGATACACTTACACTTTCAGTTCATTACTTTGTGTGGGAGGCAGTGTTCCAGGGGGCAACGTGCATGCCTATTACTACAAAGGCTGGCAATTAAAGCGCATTTCATTAAGTTCACAAAAAGAAAAGAAATCTAATTCTCAAAAAAAATAAAAATAAATAATAATAATAAATCAAATCTGCTACAAACAGTAAATCTTTAACTTTAATACTTCTCACACATTTATGCTTCATCTTGTGTTTCAAAGGAAGTAAGAACATCTGACTATTTGTACAAAGGAGTTCACAAATGCATTGACAGAAATTTGTTAGATTACATATTATAAATGTCCTTTTCTTCAAAAACCTAAACTTCTCTATATTTCCAGGTTTTGTTTTTTCAGTTTCAGTGTACATTTTAACGTAACTTTTAAACTACTGTACATGTTAATATGAATTTTGATATATTTATGTGTAGTTTCACACACTAACACTAGAGGTCAGTAGATCTGAATATACTGCACAAATGGCCTTTTTTACCTGTAGATTTAAAGGGGTCATATGATGTTGCTAAAAAGAACATTACCCACATAGTGACGTAGATATGTGGGGGCGTGTTAGAACGAGCCGTTTTAGGTAGGTGTGGTTGACTCTTAACTTTTATAAAGAATATCTCTTTGGATTTGAGACTTTAGTCTTTGCAACTTTACAGATCTTCTTTATGCACCAAGAGCTTGTAACACTCCAAAGAGAAAGGAAAAATTGAAATCGCATCGTATGACCCCTTTAAGAGAACTATGGAGGATCCCAAAAACCTGATGATGGTGGCAGCTGAGCAGGCTCAGTTTATGGCTAACCTTGCAAAACTCATAGAAGCCAATAAACCTATTGAGATTGGTGAGTGAAAGCCACATAAATCATGAAAATCATGTGTTTGCTTTTCACTCCTTACCTGTAAAACACATTTTGCATCTGTCTTAGGAATGTACACAGGATATAACACCTTAAATCTGGCTCTGGTAGTTCCTGAGAATGGACTCGTGGTGGCCTGCGAAATTAATGAGGAATACGTGAATATAAGCAAGCCATTTTTTAAGGAGGTAAACCAAGGCAAAACAAGTTTGTAAAAGTATTCTGTGCATGTTTATGCAGCTGGAGTAATTAGTTTTATTAGGACACTGTATCTGTTAAGTTGCTCCTCCACATACACATACACCTACACATGTCTGTTTCGATACTGATTACTGCCTGCCACTGTAAGAACACAGTCATCAGTATAAAGCCCAGCTGACCAGTAACGATTGAAGGCAGAGATGCAGAAATGTCCATCAGACTCTACACTGATTGCTGATGGAGACAGATGTGAATGTACACCTGGGTGCTGATATTTACACAAAGCTAAACATCAAAGTGCTTTGTCTACAATTTCCTCTTTGTATCCTATAGTTTTATAATATGACATTAAAATAACACCCTATATGTCTGGGAAAAGCAAAGATAAAAATGTTTTGTTGTTCACTAGGGATTTACAATGTAAAATTAGAACAAGTAACTTCCAGCACTTTTTGTTTTAGGCTGGAGTGGAGGATAAAATAAATATTCGCATTAAACCTGCAGCTGAAACCTTGGGTAAAGAGGAAAAACAATTGTAATACAGGTGCATCTCAATAAATTAGAATGTCATGGAAAAGAATTTGTTGAGATAGTGAATTGGTGGGTTTTTGTTAAATGTGAGCCAAAATCATCACAATTAAAAGAACCAAAGACTTAAACTACTTCAGTCTGTGTGCATTGAATTTATTTAATACACGAGTTTCACAATTTGAATTGAATTACTGAAATAAATGAACTTTTCCACGACATTCTAATTTATTGAGATGCACCTGTATATAATTTTTTATGTATTCATCCTTGTGTCTTTACAGATGAACTCCTAACTGCTGGTGAAGCTGGAACATTTGATTTTGTGTTCATTGACGCTGACAAGAAGAATTACGAAACATACTATGAAAAGTCACTCCAGCTTGTTCGAAAGGGTGGCATTGTAGCTATTGAAAATGTAAGTATGTAGTACAGTCTATTTAGTTTGCTTTGAAACAAACCCATTTGTAAATACACTGCAAAAGTGTACGTTTTGAAAAGGTGACAGCTTTTGTACCTTTCGTATCTGTAAAACCAGCTAGGTCTTACAGATTCATTTAAATTATCTTACAAATATTGTCATGAATAAATCAAATATATTCCCACCTTTCCTGTTCGGCTGTGAGTAAGCTGGTGTCTCTGCTCTTCAGGTCCTCTGGGGTGGACAGGTCATTAACCCAGCTGAAGATGACCTTTCCTCACAGACCATAGACAAACTGAACAAGAAGTTACACAAAGACGAGCGGATTGATCTCAGTATGCTCACTGTTGCAGGTGGCCTGACACTGGCTATCAAAAGATAATCTAGATTATTTAACAGTAAATAAATGATCTAAATAAAGACTTACATACAAAAATCTACTTTTCTGAGTAAATGTGACCCTGGACCACAAAACCAGTCATAAGTGTAAATTTTTCAAAATTGAGATTTGTACATCATCAATTAGCTGAAATAAATAAGCTTTCCATTGATGTATGGTTTGTTAGGATAGGACAATATTTGGCCGAAATACAGCTATTTGAAAATCTGGAATCTGAGGATGCAACAAAATCAAAATATTGAGAAAATCGCCTTTAAAGTTGTCCAAATGGAAGGTAGGAAATTTACAAAATATCTTCATGGAACATGATCTTTACTTACTATCCTAATGATTTTTGGCATAAAAAGAAAAATCGATCATTTTGATCCATACAATGTATTTTTGGCTATTGCTACAAATATACCTGTGCTACTTTATTACAGGTTTTGTGGTCCAGGGTCACAAATAACTTTTCAACAGAACTGTCTGGTGTTCATGAAAAAAAAAAAAGACCTGTGGCCAAGAAAACTATGAATATATTTTATTAAGCTGAAAAATGAACACTGTAGCAAAGGCTGTTAAATCTCATTATTATTATTAAAAAATAATAATAATAATCTTTTTGCCAGCTAATTCAACAGTTTTACAACTCTAAAGCAATGCAGGTCTTACAGATTCATTTAAATTATCTTACAAATATTGTCATGAATAAATCAAATATATTCCCACCTTTCCTGTTCGGCTGTGAGTAAGCTGGTGTCTCTGCTCTTCAGGTCCTCTGGGGTGGACAGGTCATTAACCCAGCTGAAGATGACCTTTCCTCACAGACCATAGACAAACTGAACAAGAAGTTACACAAAGACGAGCGGATTGATCTCAGTATGCTCACTGTTGCAGGTGGCCTGACACTGGCTATCAAAAGATAATCTAGATTATTTAACAGTAAATAAATGATCTAAATAAAGACTTACATACAAAAATCTACTTTTCTGAGTAAATGTGACCCTGGACCACAAAACCAGTCATAAGTGTAAATTTTTCAAAATTGAGATTTGTACATCATCAATTAGCTGAAATAAATAAGCTTTCCATTGATGTATGGTTTGTTAGGATAGGACAATATTTGGCCGAAATACAACTATTTGAAAATCTGGAATCTGAGGATGCAAAAAAATCAAAATATTGAGAAAATCGCCTTTAAAGTTGTCCAAATGGAAGGTAGGAAATTTACAAAATATCTTCATGGAACATGATCTTTACTTACTATCCTAATGATTTTTGGCATAAAAAGAAAAATCGATCATTTTGATCCATACAATGTATTTTTGGCTATTGCTACAAATATACCTGTGCTACTTTATTACAGGTTTTGTGGTCCAGGGTCACAAATAACTTTTCAACAGAACTGTCTGGTGTTCATGAAAAAAAAAAAAGACCTGTGGCCAAGAAAACTATGAATATATTTTATTAAGCTGAAAAATGAACACTGTAGCAAAGGCTGTTAAATCTCATTATTATTAAAAAATAATAATAATAATCTTTTTGCCAGCTAATTCAACATTTTTACAACTCTAAAGCAATGCAGCGTCATAAAGTTTCTCCACTAGATGGCGTTATTACTCTTCGGTTTCAAGTTTTTTGTCCTGTGCGAAAACCTCTATTTACTTGCTAGTAGGCTACTTACTCAGCTGTGTGCAACTTAATTATTTGTTGTAAGTACAGAGTATTTTCCTCATTTTTTGTACTTTACAATATTTCGTTGATATTTAAAGTTACAGTCACAACTGATTTTGTAAGATCAACTTATTAGATCAACGTACCTATATCAGCGAATTTATTAAATACATTTTAAAGTCGCTGATAGTAATTTTACATATCCCTTATCTGATCAAGAATTGTTCACTGGCACTCATAAACTGAAGTAGTATTACATTTTATTGTTGTAATGTTGACGTTGTACACTTACAGTTTCGTTTATCCTTAATCAGAGCAATAGGTGGAAAGTGAAACTTTCCCAAAATTAGGTAACCTAACCTTCACTATAAAAACCCTCCCCGGCGACTATGTTCAATCAGACAACGTTTGGATGAGGAACTCGGAGATTTGTAGAAGGTAATAAGACTTTGTATCTGTTTTCATAATGTGACTAATAATTCTATCAATAAGTAAATAAAATAAGCAGCTCTACATCAATAATAGAAACAATTTTACTATAAATATGCTGTAATTATATCAGTGAATGCTTTTAATCTAGAATACTTTTTAATTGATTTCGAAATTATATTTAAGAAAGCACTTTATGGAAATTATATTTTACTGATCATTTAATGTTTGTTTCTGTAAGTCCTATTAAAAAAAATAAGCTGTCAGTCAGATATACTATACTGTACAGATTTAAGGAAACTGAGAAAGAAAAACTTCAAGAGTTTAAACATTTGCATCTATTTTGCATTTTAAACAATACAGGAATGTCTGAGGACAAGCTTAAACTGTTGTCCTGCCACTTTACTTGGGACTTGCAAAAGGAAGATGCTGACCGTAACTTTCTCGAAGTGAAAGTTCGTGAAAGACTGGCAGTGAAATGCGAGTATGGAGGAAACCTGAAACAAAGAGAATTCAATTTTTTGGCCTTTATTAAACATTTACAAGGATTTAATGACGAGGCGCTTAAGAACCTGCAACTAGCAAAGAAGGAACATCCGGACGATGACAGCAGTGTGATTGTGACGTATGGAAACTTGGCCTGGGTGCACAGTCTCATGGGCAATGTGACTGAGGCTGAGACTTACACAGAGAAAGTAAATGAAATCCTTAGAGCTTTCCCTGCTCCGTCTCCAACAGAGCTTCACAGAGAAGTTCAAAGCGAAAAAGCCTGGTCGCTTCTCAAGTTTTCTAGAAAGACCTACATCAGGGCCAAGGAAAGTTTCCTTGACGCTTTACAGAAAGAGCCGGATGACAAGGAATGGAACACAGGCTTTGCCTTTTCTCTGTTCCGTCTGGAGGGACTGAAGATTGGTCAATACAAGCGTGTACGATTTGAAGAGTCTCCTGCTGTGCTCCAGTTGAAGAAAGCTCTGAACCTGGACCCGGACAATGCAATGATCCATGTGTATCTGGGCCTTAAGTGCTACAAGAACACAAAGAACGTAAATAGCACAGAGGTATGGCAATACATGAAGCAAGCGCTCACGATGGCTCCAGATAACCTCAGTGTTGTTTTGCATGTTGCAAAGTTCATGAAGAAAGAGCAGTTTTATGACAAGGCCCTGAAAGTGTTGCTGGAAATGCTGAAGAAAGCGCCAGACTCGTCACGGTTACATCATGAGATTGCCAACAACTACCGCTGGAAAGCCATGCAGATGAATGACGTACACAATTCGGAGTTGCTGGGCCTTTGCATTCACCATTTAGAGAAGGGTACCAGTTTAAACCCAGGCTACATATACCCAAGACTGGAGTTAGCGCTGAGGTATGCAGAACAAAAGCAGATGGCTAAAGCAGAGCAGAAGTTCACTGAGCTGTTTGCCCTTCCTGACCTGAAGCCAGCTGACCGTCAAGCCTGGCATCGCATGTATGGGGATTTCAAACAGTACAGGTTGGGCTCAGAGAGAGCTGCGGTTGAGCATTATAAACAAGGAATGATGCTGGGGCGAGTGTCCACCGAATGGATCGCATGCAAAAACAGATTGAGGAAAGTCCTTCAGCAGGACAGACGGGACACATATGAGATCCGGACGTTCTTTCATTCCTTTAGAACAGAGAACAAAGATGATTAGGAGAGATCAATTTAATCTCTGTTCAAGTTCCAATCGTAATCTTCTCTCATGTAATGACCATAGCAATAGTTCTGCTGTTTCCTTTTTGATCCACTGAGTGTTAGCAGAGTTAAATAAAATAATATAAATGTATAATTTTTTATATAATCTGTTTTCCCAAATGTGTATTATAATAAATTAATTGCCAGGTAGATGATAACCAGACATTTGTGTAAAGACATTAATATAATATAGTCTTTATGTGTCTTTTCAAGTTAAACCTCAATTTGTACACACATTGTATGCAGTTATGTAATGCAGTTTTTCATGATGAATTTTTTTTCCCTTTATGCCACTTTATGATGCACTGCTGTATCTGAATTGAAGGAAATATTGAACAGTATCAGTGGTTTTAGTTGTTCCAACGTCTAAAATATGATGAATTATGTTGATAAATTAACATGACAACTGGTCAGAGTGCAGCATCTTTTTTTAAGTGGAACTAAGCAATAACTCGTTTACTCTGTCATTTTTATTTAAAATATGCAGCCAATACAAGCTAAATTGCTAATTTTTTCAATTAGCTGCAGGAATTTTGCTTTATCTGGAGCTCAAGAAACACACACAAACCTTGTGAGTTATTTTACGGTCTCAATCAATCAATAAAAATAAATCTATTTATTATTTTTATGAAAACCAGGGTTTTTGAATCTTAAATCTTTACACCCCCCCACACTAATGGTGTCAAGACTATATAAATAATATGTTATAGTAAATGTAAAGTACTTATTTCTAAACTAGATGCCCTCACATGAGAAGGCAGACGTGTGGTGCTTATGTTGTTATTGGCTGCTCATGTAGAAGCTGTGCTGTTGGACTGATTCCAGCTCGGTGACCGCTCAGCATGACTGAAAATGTAGAGCTGACTTGTGCTTTTCTGCAGCACAAACATGTACGTTATAGCTTGAAGAATGATGCTACTGCAGTAAAACATCTGCAAATCTGACAATATGATGAAACAGTAGTGTTGTTATATAATAACACCAACATAGATTAAAAGCTGTCACAGTTCTGCCGAAAATCACATACCCTACAGTATATAACAATTTTGCTGAGCTTGCAGGAATATAATACGGATTTTTTTTACATATATTAAACCAGAAAAACAATACATTAGCAGACAACAATAGTACATTTCCAAAAATATAAGAAAAAAAAATATATATATAGTTTTTAAGCATTCTAATGCCACATTTACACTGCATATATGATACTGTTTAATGCTGCTCAGAGGTGGCTTAAATCCATTTACACAGCAACGATAACCATATACTTTGATATTAGGGGCTGAGGCAGGTCAGAGCAGGCATAATTTAGTATGGCTTTTATGCAACATTATGTCTTTACACAGAATTTTGAGCAGGCACAGAGCAGCCTTAACTCAGCTGTGCCTTAGTGACAAATTGCCATCTCAAGCTACATTATAGGCTATAAAATTTTAATATAAGTTAAGGGTAACACTTAAGTTTAGTGACCAATTCTCACTATAGTGGCTTATTATCATGCATATTATTAGCATATTGGCTGTTTATATTATTACTTTAAAAGCACATATTAATTCCTTATTTTACATGACCATATTTTCGATCCCTTAATCCTACCCCATACCTAAACTTTACAACTATCTTACTACCTATTAGCAGCAAGTTTATTGAGGCAAAAGTCATAGTTAATAGTTAGTTAATTGTGAGAACTGATCGCCAAACCAAAGTGTAATCCAAAATGGGGAATACAGTAGGCTAACTATCCCTTTTTAAAAGTAACATTGCTTTACGGTTCATTAAGCCATTGATAACCTCAGCTGAAGGTCATGACACTACAAGGTGTTTCATATAAAGAGAATTTAATGCTGATATTTCTGTACACATGGTGACAGTGTTGACACATTGTCCTCTACTGATTTAGATTTTTTTTTTTTTTTTTTTTTTTAAAAAGAGGCAGTTACTTGTGTT